TCGTGTAGGCGGAGCCTGTCCTCAAGCTTCAAACCGTCATCTGAGACAGTAATTCACATTGTACATAGATTCACAGATATATGTATGAGTCTGGTTTTGTTCCATATCGGTCGTAGTGGTAATAGTTTTCTGTTCTGAAACATTATCAGGAAGGGATCAAAAGAACAGAATCTGGTCACCGGAGTCTGGCTGATCTTCTCGGTGTTTCCCACATGATCGAAGATCTCAACACTCCGAATAGACTCTCGGAAGAAATCTTGAGAAGTGTGTGTCTCATATATTGCAAATTCTCGGACAAGACACAGATCGGTTGTCCAAAGAGTCCTTGTCATAGTTGTAGCCAACAGTCTGGAGAAACCGAAGGGGAAACGGGCGAAGAATTCGCTGTTGTGGTTCACAAGCTGTGCTTGGATGAAGATGATTTGAAGTCTTTGGAGAGTATGCTTCAAAAATTCAGGTGATAACGAGCGGTAAAGATGTAAAATTTATAATAGTTTAACCCTCGACGCAGAATTCTGAAACTGTGTCACCATTGTTGTTCAGGTCACTGGTCCGGAAACTCGAGAAAGTTGATCCAAGAACGATGACTCGGGAGCAGAAGCTTGCGTTCTGGATCAACGTCCATAATGCCCTGCTGATGCACGTAAGCAATACGCCGACCAGATAGCCTGAAAAGAAAAAAAACTTCAGCTTCATTGGTATTTTTCTTAGTTTCTTAAGCAGCTCACTTCTTCTTACAGGCGTATATAGCATATGGAACAAGCAAACCTGCAAGGGACGCAGCTATTTTGAAGGTCTGGTATCGGATCGTACAGAATTTTTTTGCATCTTCTACATATCATAATAGCTGATCAAACCATTTACAAGTTCTTCAGCTTTGAGTTCGATTTTGACCAAAACCATTTGTCGTTCAGGCAGCGTATAACGTGGGTGGCGAATGCATAAGTGCACACCATATCCAGAACTCGATATTGGGCATTTGCCCACGCCAGTCAGCACCTGTAAAGTGCCTTTCTTTAGTACATTCTCGATTCTTGACATGACTGCATTCATTTCGGGCTTAGACAGATTCCCTTCTGCCATTACAGCGTTTACAGACGATGTTTTCCCCGGCTAGGAAGTCGAAGACATGTCACAGCAAACACGCATATGCATTGGACTACACCGAACCACTTGTCCACTTTGCTCTTTCTTCCGGCACTTCAACCGACCCAGCGGTATCACTCAACTCGTGACTTTCCCTATCGGGTTTCTTTTCCACACGCCCTCTGATCAATACGGTCGGCAACCATTTTTCAGGTCCGCGTTTACACAGCCAAGGGTATCTTTCAAGAACTCAAGCGAGCCAGGGAAGAGTTCATTCGACGGAACATCCAGTTTGAGAACGAGGCGAGGATTCTACTGCCAAAGATTCTCTACAACTACGCAAAGGATTCTTCACTAGACATGGATGGGCTCTTGGACTCCATAGCCGGGTGCCTACCAGACACACAGCAGAAAGCTATGAGGAGAATAGTAAAGGGAAGGCAGGAGAGATGCGTTCGCTGGCTGAACCAAGACCCGAGCTTTCGGTATGTCATCCATGGAAATCTTGCTTAGGAGAATGGGTGGAACTTGACCCATTACCTTGTCTGAAATTCTTCTGTATGTAGCTCTCTGCTTTTGCCAGGATTTTGCTGAATAATAGAGTTTCAAGCTGTATATAGTAATTCTAGAAGGCTTCCTCTTTACGCTATTGTCAATCGATGGAAGAAATCGAAAATACCTTCGTCGGATAGTTTTTGACTCTGATCCTTCAGAAACCCTAGAGTTCTCTCCAATCGCGAATCGTCTTGGTCGCTAATAGAACATCCCAGTGCATCCGTTATGAATTAGGGTTAATGTTCCAATCGTACCTCACCGGAAACAAGAAGAAAACGGAGGAGGAAAGACTGCGGAATGTTCATTCAACCTTGGAATCGCAGAGCCAGGGCCCTTTTTCTTTTTCACAAGTTTTTGTAAAATCTCATATAAACACCTATTTTTTTTTAAATAAATAAATATTAACTATAAAATTTTTATACAAATAATTACACTTTTCCAAAATTTTATATAAATATCTAAATTTTTGAAAATTTTCGATGTAAAGATTGAAATTAAAATCTAACTATAAAATTCATATTTTCAAAATTTTATTAAATTCTTTCGATGATCAAAATATCATTATTCTCACATATTATTCCACTATTTTAAAATCTTATAACATACCGTTTTCTTTTTTAAGCTTTATAAATATTTTTTTCCTACCAATTATATATTATTAGATTCAGTGATATTATGATATATTTATAGACATTTCTTACTAACATTTTATTTTTTCAATTTGATATATTGTTATGTTTTAATAAAATTATTTTCTTAGTTCATATTGGAAAATTCCGTAAAAAATATTCAACTACATTAGAAAATTCAGATTAAATACTAAATATATAACTGTCAAAAATAATATAAACTTGCAACATATTTCCATATTAATACTAAACTTGCAATAAATTTTCATATAAAAACTGAATGATCTAAATTTTGACAAATTTAACATGTCACTAAATGACGTCAAAATGTCGTTGGATACCGTTATCTACTATGGCAATGATGTGGTGTACTAACTACCAAACCGAAGCCATTCAATTTCCAATTTTTTTTTTAATTTCGAATTGAATCAGAAAACCAAACAACCACAGATTGATGATGATTTAATAAAGTAAACCGTATTGGTTCAGCAAAATTAAAAACAATAAAGTATTTAAAAAATATTTTTGATGAAACTTGAAATTGGGAAAAAATATTATTTTCTCTCAAATGCATCGTTTAGAATTTAATAGTATTTGTTTGTCACTGGATTTTCCCTTTTTGATTTTTAAAATCAATTTACATGCACGCTCACGTCAATTATATTGGGCCAAGGCCCGATAACAATAACGAACGGAGCCGCCTCATGTCATTGGAAAATATCCACGAAGAGATTTTTTTTTAAATAATGGGAAAATCTAAAAAAAATTACTCACCGAACTTAAATTCATACTTATTTCGATTTTTATATTCATAATCAATTATTAATTATTAAAAAAATATTAAAACGTTCAAACTGTTTTTTCACGTCAACAGCAAATACAATTAAAAAATAAAAATATTATGTATCTATATATGTATATATGTATACACACACATGCATGTATAAATATACAGGTATACTTATTTTTTAACTTGCAACTGATGGTGTATATTAATACGACGTGTCAAATTAGGCGAAACCACTATTTTTTTTTATATTTTGACTGGAGTTTGGAACGATCGGGAAAGTAAAAGAATTTTAAAATTAATTACCTTCTTTTTTTATAAAAATTAATTTTGCGTGAAAATGGAAATTGAAATACTTTAACTTTATTATATGTCAGTTAATTAAATTATAGTTTTGAATAATTTTTTTGGATTTTCCTTTAAATAAATAAACTGAAAAAAATCCTGGCAAAAAGGAAAAAAAACTAAACAATTGTGTGCGCCAGAATTTTTCTTCTTCGTCTTGTAGTTCGCCGTTGGCGGTTCGAATGCGATGGCGTTGTCGTCGACCTCCATTGTTTCTGGCGTTAAGCTCCCTCAGATCGGCATAGCTCCCTTCAACTCCGGTGATGGCGGCTCAAGTTGTCGAAGGGTGAATCAGAGAAGAGTTAGGTTTAATCCGGCGTCGTCGCGTCTCCCTTCACCGTCGGCAGCTCCGAATCGTCTTCGCGTCGAGGCTCAGTCATTTATTCTCTCCACGGTTCCCAGGTACGCCTCCATTTTGCGGCGTAGCTTGAGATAATTGAATAGAAGTGATTATGGTTATGGGAACTGAATCCAATAAAACTCTGGAAGACCTTTGTTGTTGTTTATTTTTTTCTGGATTCTCGGCGACTGAGGTGTAGCTGTTGATTCATCTGGTTCCAGTTATAGCTAATTAATCATTCGTGGTCTTTTGCATTTTTGAGTCTGGAGCGATGGGATTTCGGGGGATTATGTTTTTCCTTTGGGTTCTCGCTATTTTGGTGACTAGCTGTTGATTATGGCTGAATTTCATTGTGTGAAAGGTGGGCGCACGAAACTACACTAAGCGATCGTTTGAAGAGGAACAGTGTTGTGGGACAGCCAAGCTCGGTTCTCAGGAAACATGCTACTAAGATACCATTTCCCCAGGGATGTAATCTCTGTCTTACCTGTAAAAAGGGCCGTACAGGGATCAGAAGATCTATTCCGAGAGCCTTTTTGGACAGAACTTCGTTTAGTTTGTTAAAGTCCCGCTCGAACTCTTTCACGGTATGTAAGCTACATGCATCTTTACTTATCTGTGCTAAACTTTTGCCTCCTTTTTAGTATTTGTTTGATGGGTTGGTCGCTATTGGAACATTTCAGAGAAAGCATTCTCAGATTCCCAATGCAACAGTGGGGCCAGATGAGCCGCACGCCACGGGTACAGCCTGGCTGGATGGCGTTGCTGTGGAGAGACAAGATGTGGACTTTTTGCATCCTGAGAAAGACGGGGCGGAGTTGGAGATGTTTCTTGCTTCTGAACTCCCTTCTCAGCCGAAGTTGCATCGAGGACAACTGAAAAATGGGCTACGCTACCTCATTTTGCCAAACAAAGTTCCACCAAATAGGTAAATTAAAGGCTTGCATCATGCCTTTAGATGGACCACATATCTTGTCTTATAGAATATCCAGTGTCTGCTTCTAGCTTTGATGTTATAAATAATTTACACATGTTGATTGAAATTTTGTTCTGACACTGTGAAGAACTTCGAAATTTGTTGAGTAGAGTGTCCTGTTCTTTTAGAGCTCAAGAATATGGAATGATCATATTTAAGTTCTCCTTCTTACTCATTACTCATCTGGCAATGTTTTGATCGGTAGATTTGAGGCGCACATGGAAGTTCACGTGGGATCAATTGATGAAGAAGATGATGAGCAAGGAATAGCTCATATGATAGAGCATGTTGCATTCCTTGGGAGCAAGAAACGTGAGAAACTTCTTGGAACAGGTGCCCGCTCTAATGCCTACACGGATTTCCACCATACAGTATTTCATATCCATTCTCCAACACATACAAAGGTTTGTTATTGCTTGCCTCGATGTCTTCTTCATTGACACAGCTTCCTTTGCAATTACTGTGTTTTTACTAGGGGTGTCAAAACGAGCCCGGCTCGCGAGCTGGCTCGTGGCTCGCCAGAAAACGAGCGATCTGAGCCGTAATTTTTTCAACTCGTTAAAAAACGAGCCTAACGAGCCAGATCTCATTGAACACGTGTTCAATGAGCCTGGCTCATCGAGCTGGCGAGCTGCTCAACGAGTTGATATTTTTTTTAAAAATAAATTAAATTTATATAAAAAAACTCTAATATAATTTTATATTAATTTTTTTCATATCATTTATATGATATTATAAATATACTAATTATTATGATAGTGATAATTGAAAATATTAAATGATATTGGTGTTTTATTAAATTTTTATGTATTTATTTAAATTTATAATTATATTTAAAATAAATATAAATAAAAAATATTATATATCCTTCGTTCAGATCGGAAAACTGGCGAGCGATCTGAGCCGAGGTTTTTCTGGTTCGTTAGAAAACGAGCCTAACGAGCTGAGCCCAAAACGATCCGAGCCAAATGAGCCGAGCTCAAAATGATCCGAGCTGGCTCGTTTGACACCCCTAGTTTTTACCCAAATGCCTGAAATTAGTTCAATCTATCAATTCTTATGGTCTTGCTCTTTTGATTTAATGCCATAGCAAATTAATCAGCACTTTTTTTTATTGTCTAATCTGTCTCTGTTTTTTTATCCATCCAAAAGCTTCCCTGTGTTGATGCATGCGGAATTTCAGTGATTGCAGTAAAATAGTTGGTTTAATCTTGATCTATGTTGATTTATGGACCTCATAGTCTTCCCTAGTTTTCCTTATGTCGAGATGTAGTTAGTCATAAGAATTTGCCAGAACATGCTGCTACTACCGTGCTAATATATTGATCAAGTTGCAGTAGGAATGCTAGTTGCATATTAATCTTAAACGAGTATTCTTTTCAGGACTCTGATGGCGATCTGCTGCCACATGTGCTCGACGCCTTGAATGAGGTACACAGCAATGACTTTTAATCTAAGATTCTGAGACACTATGCTTGTATTGACTATGCAAATTACTTTGGTTTGGCTAACCAAAACCAAAATTATTCTGTGTTATTGACTGATACGTTAGGTGGGGAAAAAAAAAAGAACTTATGTCTCTTGTGGATACAGATAGCTTTTCAGCCAAAGTTCCTCTCTTCCCGAGTTGAGAAAGAAAGGCGAGCCATACTTTCAGAACTTCAAATGATGAATACAATTGAGTATCGGGTTGACTGCCAGGTAGTAATTATATCGTTGGCATAATAGTTCTCTCCTTTGGTTATTTTTGGTGTTTATTTGGAAATAATCAGTGACACATTTGTATTAATTTGTGAGTGCAGTTGTTGCAACATCTTCATTCTGAAAACAAGCTAAGTAAAAGGTTCCCTATTGGATTGGAGGAGCAGATTAAGAAGTGGGATGTTGACAAAATTAGGAAATTTCATGAGCGGTGGTACTTCCCAGCTAATGCCACATTATATATTGTGGGCGATATTAATAACATTCCTCAGACAGTTCACCATATTGAAGTATAATATTCTTGTCTCTGACTTCTATTCCTTTTCTTTTTCTGTCAATTGAAATATTGAATTTACTC